AGAAATGCTTGGAAATTTTAACAATTAAGTATCAGCCTTTTAATGTTGGCCAATACAAACATTTACTTTCTTCTAATAAACACACTGATGATTTCTGCTTTTCAATAACATAACAAAATGTAACTATTGAAAGAGATTTATGCCTTTCTTTCTTTCCCTTTATAAACAATGTGTATGAACATGATGTCTAAGCCATTCTTATATCTATACTGAATTGCTGAATTAATCCTGGCAATCAATTGGGTGACAGATTGCTATATAGTGCTTGGATACTCATGTATTGGCACCTGTTCAGCCTAGCTTCTTCAGATCTCTATCTTGAGTTCCCTATTCTATATCTAATGCATTTCTTCCACTTCAGCTGCAGTTTTGATGACATATCAGTCTCCCTAGAAGAAATGAATAATAGATTATCTGGGTTATTGTAGGCTAAACCCACAATTAGTATTTATGCTAGGTTTGAATGAAGCTTGGCAAGAACACGAGCAAAGAATGTTTGACCTTGTTTTACAAAGAGGTAGAACTAATTTTTTAAAATCTCTGCTACACTAAGCTCCTGTACCCTCAATTCATTACTCCCAAATATCTCTATTAATTATGAGCCCCCACCTCACACTGACTTTCACATTGGCAAATCTGGATGGTCTCTTTTCAATGGTACTGTTGGATAGATTAATTAGTGTTTATGTATCTACTCAGATTCTGAAACTAAAATAGTTGAGTATGTTTCTGAAGTGCTGTATCTATCATGCCTAGAAGCCAGAGTTAATTCCCCCTGTTATTATAAACTATTTAGAAGGTTCTCAAAGGCAATTGTGTACTCCCTACTGAACAACCAGGACTGGAAATTCTCTAGAATTATATATGAATTTTGTACTATAGTCACGACAATTGGAATTTCTTGATACATTCTATCTTTTAGATGTGCAGAGCTCAGGAATGAATAGGTTTTAACAAACATCTGTATTCTTTTTTAAAGAAAACTTTTTTTGTTTGGTGTTTGGTCTAATGACTATATATTTTAATAAATCAATAAAGTAAATTGTTATCTGTCTTCCAACTATGGGGAAAGGCCTATTTATGGGTTTAAAGAAGCCATTATCTCAGTTTCACTAACAACTCAGTAAAAGTGAGTTAAAATGATATATCCAGAGATAAATGTTTTCATATAGGCAAAATATTTTTTTTCCTCCAAGAAGCATCAAAAGGCCCAACCAAGACATTAGGCATCTGAAGGAGATACAGCACTTCTACCCAAAGGCAATTGCTCCCCCCTCCTTCACCCCCCTACACATTGCCCCACTTCATTGGTTGCCATCATTTTCATTTCATGGTAAATTGGCTATATTTTTAATTATGCATGATCATAGTTGCTCTTCAAAACTGCAGAGCAAAAACAAAACAAAATCCCACAAGACAGCAGGAAATATTTTTAAAATATTAGGAGCAATGCTGAATTCCATAGATTAAGTCTGGAAATTAGATTGACTTAAAATTATTTGTTTTATTTCTGTATGATTATTCTGGTATAGGAAGATACTGATTTGGTTAGACATTATTGATTTATGTATCCTATTTTAAATGATGCTGAATGAAAGTAATTCACTGGTACTTATTTAAGATACATTGATTTATTGATTATGCGTCATCTATTACCTCTGATTGGGAAATCAGATATGGAACTTTGATGGACTGTTTCTCTTTGGACTGAACCAGAGATTATCCAGTTTCCATATTTAAAACAGGATTTATTTAAATTTAAATGGAGCTTCCTTTTTCCCATTGTCAGATAAGAAACAAAACCCTGCAAGGCAGTAATTTTGCTTTTTAACAAAATGTCTGATATTCGCAGATAAAGTAGAATTGAAATGGTGCAGTCATTTTAGAACTGCAGCAATAAGATTAAGTCAGACTTAAACACTGATTTTTTAAAAAAGAAATATATAATAACTAGAAGTGTAGTGGCTTGTATATAAAACATTCTGCTTTCTTCAGGAATGGGTCTTTTCCCTATAGAACAGGCCAATGTGATTTGGGGGATGGTTCATGGCAGACCATAATGATTTCTTGTCCCTGATACAGGAATGTCTATGGAGATGCTCAGTCATTCAGTTCTTCAGAAGCTTCTTGGATGAAAAGCAAAACTTCTTCCAGGAAAAACAAAGAAAGTACCATTGCCTTTTGAAAAAGCACTGTTGGGATAGATGCAGAAACCATTTCTGCCAACTTTTGGAACAGCCAGAGGAGGAGGAGGAGGAGGAAGAAGAGGAGGAGGAAGAGGAGGAAGAGGAGGAGGAGGAGGAAAGAAGAAGGAAATTCCAGAAGAAAATACATCCAGGAATGCATTGAGGAGAACATAGATGGCAGCTTCTTCAGCAACTCTTGTGCAAAGGAAAAAAGTGCTACTAATGAGAAACTGGTAAAAAGAGGCAAAGCCACAAGGATCTCTGCATCCATACAGATGCTAGGATTGTAGTGAAGACTGGTACTCGGATTGCAAACAGAATTTTCATTAACTGAAATCCAATATTCTTCTCTCTTCTTCCCCTTCTTTTTTTAATATATAACTTTAGGGGCATTTGTGGAATTGTGGGGTGAAGGAGGGAGAATATCTGAAAAACTATCCCCCATAAACACACATGATAACAAATGTATTTAATATTCTCTCTCTCTCTCTCTCTCTCTCTCTCTCTCTCTCTCTCTCTCTCTCTCTCTCTCTCTCTTTCACATTGGCTAGGGAATTATGGGAATCGAAGTCCACACATCTTAATATTCTTAATATACGAAACACTGATTTACACTCATTGATCAGTCTGGTCTTCTCTAAGAATTCTGAATAATTTTGTCTAGGTTTCTTGGAGAAGACTGGTATCATGTGTCATGTATCTCTGCATTATTCCCTTCAAGTCAGTTTTATACAACTTTCTTGACAAATCTATGGTGACTTCTGCCAAGCACTGCATTCATCTCTCAATGCTCAAAAAATAATTAATATAATATAATAGTAGTAAACTTGGAAGGGACCTTGGAGGTCATCTAGTCCAACCCCTGCTCAGACAGGAAACCCTACACCATTTTGGACAAATGGCTGTCCAGTCTCTTCTTTAAAAATTCCAGTGTTGGAGCATTTACTGCTTCTGGAGGCAGGCTGTTCCACTGATTAATTGTTCTCACTGTCAGGAAGTTTCTCTTTAGTTCTAGGTTGCTTCTCTCCTTGATTAGTTTCCACCCGTTGCTTCTTGTCCTGCCTTCAGGTGCTTTGGAAAATAGCTTGATTCCCTCTTCTTTATGGCAGCCCCTGGGATATTGGAATACTGCTATCATGTCCCCCCTTGTTCTTCTCTTCGTTAAACTAGACATACCCAATTCTAGCAACCGTTCCTTATATGTTTTAGCCTCCAGTCCCCTAATCATCTTTGTTGCTCTTCTCTCTACTCTTTCTAGAATCTCAACATCTTTTTTACATTGTGGTGACCAAAACTGGATGCAATATTCCAAGTGTGGCCTTACCAAGGCATTGTAGAGTGGTATTAATACTTCACCATTGAACAATCTTTTCAAGAGCATTGCTCAGTGTCAATTTAGATTGGCTGGTTTGTATTTGCCTGGATCCTGAACATATGAAAGAGTTAAAGAGCTCTGCCATGTCCCTGTCACTTATTATTTTTCTACCATCTTCTTTAAATAGTGGCCCTACCCTTTTCCCCCTTTTTTTCTTATTTCTTTCTTTTTCTCTTCCTAATCCTGCTTTGCTAAAATGCATATTCTTATACAAGTTTAATTAGAGTTGTTTTTTTTTAAAAAAGAATCCAGAATTTCACTTCTACTTAACTACTGCTATGTGCCATCCATCCTATTTTCATGTTATCTATCTCTTTCATAGGCTTCAGCAAGTGTTGTGTTTGGTTTTTAATATATTTCTGAACTTATAGTAAAGTCTAGAAATGTATAAAGGAAGGAAGGAATCATCAGAACAGTTATATATTGCCTCTATTATTTTTTGGGAATTTTGCCACTCACATAATCTTTAAACAAGTTTACTATGTCAAATACCAGTGGAAAACAATATTATATAAAAGTAAAGAAATCATACGATAAAGAAGGCAAGCATGAACAACTATTCTGTGCATAGTCCACACTGCCACTATTATTATGTTGGAATATGCCATCAACATAATCCTTCTTTATCATTAGTTATTAAAGCCAACAATGGGATTGTATTTATTTGTAATAATTTCCACTATATTAACTAGCACTTATTCCAAAGAATGTCTTTATTGTTTGTTGTCTAAGGCTGTCTATAGTGTCCATATCTTTGTGAAAGGATGTCTTCCCATATTCTGCCAGAAGAATGTTCTGTTAAGTACAGAAGGCTCCCAATGGATCTATGCTCTTTGGGCATGATCAATGAGCTATAGCAGGCATTCAGTATAAAAGGCAGAAAATGCTATCTAAATGCATTTCCCAGCAAGTAAGATTAACTTTTCATTACACAACAGTGTTTCAAATATTCCCAAGATGCAATCAAAGTTGCATAAATGTAGAATCTGCTGCCTTAGCTACCTGGTGAGTATTTTAAACAAAGTCTAGCTATCATTGGTGCTCATACCATCTCTCTCTCTCTCTCTCTCTCTCTCTCTCTCTCTCTCTCTCTCTCTCTCTCTCTCTCTCTCTCTCTCTCACCTTTACAATGTATAATATGGAAATTGGTAGCTTTGTATAGGCAACCTTGGAAAAGTACTCAATCCTTTCAAGCATTGAGATTGTGCTGTATGCCACTGCCCATTTGACAAAGTAAGAGACCAAGAAAGAAAATGGGATGTCAGGGAGAAATTGAGCATATGGAACCAGCTGTCCACCATGCTTGCATGCTCAATAACAGCACCCCAGAGCAAACAACTTCCTCTGTTTTAGGTCATATTACATAAAATGCTGAGCTCTTCTTGTTTGCTTCTTCTGTTGTTTCTTGTAGTCAGATCCTAACAGTATTACTTAGATTATGCCTGGATTTCAAGGACTTTTAGTTTTAAATAATGACTTGAATATTTGATAGTTCAATGAAAGGTGATTATATTATCACATTCTTTGATGAGGTTAATGATATCGGATTCCATTTTTTACTGTTGTTAAGATGGTAGAGTCACCGCATCTTACTTTATAAGAGAGACAACCTTCCAGTAAAAAGTTAACTAGCTCAGGGATGAAAATTTGATTTTTGAAGGCCATACATTCCTGGGGGGTGTGAAATGGGAGAACTGAAGCAACTATTATCTCTCTGACATTCCTTCTGTTTCTCTCTCAGACACTCTTCTTTTGCTTACTCTCATTCTATTATTTTGACACCTTTTTTCTCCTCCCTCTATCCTCTCTCGCTTTCTACTGGCTGCCAGGAAGGAATTGATACCTTTTAATAAGATCTGTCTTCAGCCTTTTTTGTTTTCACAGAGGTCCTGAAATTAGAACAAACCCTGCATGATATTAGCTCAAAGACTGCCTGCAGCCACAGGGCAATCAGGTTGCCCATCCTTGCATTAACTGAGGTGCCCAAGTTTATTGTTTAAAAATCAGAAGAGGGAACTGTCCATCAAAAATGCCTTAATAGTAGACATGTAGTCATACAGTCGCAGTTCTCCCTGAAACAATAAGATAGAGCATAGTTAATTCTTTAATTATAGCAATAATTGTACCTTAGGATATACAGATGTTATACACCTTAACAAATGCAGATGCTATGCAAATCCATCTTTGCCCAGTGCTTAATTTAAAATCAATCACCAGATTCATCCTTTGTGTCTTAGCCAAGAAGGAATCTACCATTTCATATTTACATTGCATACAGCCTGTTAGTAAACTAGTTCAGTGATCAAAAAGTAGACAGGCCTCAACTTGAGTTCTTTTCAAGATAAGATTTGAAAAAAATTCTTAACAGACTAATAAAAAATGTGTATAAGCAAAAGTGTGTGGTGGTAGTGGGGATATGTGTGCAAGAGAAAGAGACAGAGAGAGGAAGGGAGAGAGGGAGGGATGGAGACTGAGAGACAGACAGACAGCGAGTACAATTCCTTTGAGTTCAGGTATGTCTTTATGATCTTTTAAGCCCTGAAAGAAAACTCTCCTTTACCATCAAAAATTGAATAAAAAATTGTGCATTACAACGTCTAAATTCTCTTTGGTCATTCTGTTTAATTTTTTTAAAGTGATGATCTATCAGGTGGACTAGTGTATTTGGACTGTTGTGTTTCAAATTTCAACAGCACAATCTGAGAGGGCTCCATGAGTCACCTTTAAGGAGGAGGAGACATGGAAGAGATATGGAGTTTGAGGATTTCAGATTACCATAACATAGACAATGGACAATTGGATCAGTTAATGATACAAAAACAATGCATTGTATGATGACATTTCTTAACTTAAGAGCAAAATTATTAACTTCTAATTTCTAGATTTTGAATATTGCCATGCTTGGCATATTATACCTGGAATGTTCTACACTTGGAATATTAACCTTTTCTTAGCCACATTATAAGTATACTACATGCATCTCCTCTTGCATTTCAATTCTTTGAAAGTCCTTATGATTACTTTAAAATGACATTCAATTGAAAAGATCTCTCACCCTTATTTTAAACATTAAAAGCCTATGACAGTGATGGTGAACCTTTTAGAAACTGAGTGCCCAAACTGCAACCCAAAACCCACTTATGACAGTGATGGCGAATGACAGTGATTTCGAACTTTTTAGAAACTGAGTGCCCAAACTGAAACCCAAAACCCACTTACGTATCGTCGGGTGCCGGGTGGGTGTGGCCCATTGGGTGGGTGTGGCCCATTGGGTAGGTGTGGCTGAGGTGGTAACGGCAGACTGGGTGGGACTAAAAAGTTCAATCAATCAATTTCAACTTTGCGAGATCTTTTTTTTTCCCTGCGAGAAGTTGAAATTGATTGATTGAACCTTTTTTTTTTTGCACACGGCGGTGGAGGCCTAAAGCGAAAAGATTTTATAAAACCCAGCTGAAGGCCTAGGACTGGGGCAATGGCATGTGTGCCCACAGAGAGGGCTCTGAGTGCTGCCTCTGGCACGCGTGCCATAGGTTCGCCACCACTGGCCTATGAAAAAACACAAATATCTCCTTTTCTAACACATTTCAGCTCTTACATTTGACTACAAAAGAGATGTGAAATCTACATGTGAAAAGGTAAAAATGAACAGTTAAGTGTCGTTAAATTGTAGGACTAGTTCAGCAGCCAAAGCCTAAAATCAACAAATGCATGAGCATAGCAGTAGCATACCTACATATAAAAATAATATTTTTTAAAAAGCAAGGAAGAACCATTTTTCATATTTTAATAGCTTTCATTCTATGTCTTAATAAATGCATGTTTGTAGATTTGTATACGCATGATGTAGGAAGTCTGCAAATAAATGTAATTTGCAGCAGGGGGATAGCTAACCACTAGCAAACACTTTTGAATAATGAATCCCTACTGTATCAGATGGACGCTATTCATAATAATTTCTTGCTTTTTTCATTTTGTCCTATACAGTAGCGATTAATCAATTTGCAATGTTATGTCACCCATAACAAATTGCTAGCACCAAGACAAATTTATTGCTTTATGATAAAAGAACTTGTTTGGGTGGAAATAAATTAAATTTTGGGGTTGTTATTTGACTAGGGTGTTTACATACATGACCCAAGCTGTGCAGGCCAGGTGAGGTGAGAGTATCCAATTATTACTCTTGTGTTTTGAGAATACTTCAAAGACATGCAAAAAGCAAATGATATGTTTGTACAGCTAACTAGTCCTTGAAGAGGAAGGGAACCTTCTGGGAATCAGTACAGCTTAAACTGAACTATGTTAAAAAAAAGTTTGATCATGTTATCTGGGACAAATCCTTGTTTCCTGCAGTTCATCTATTGTCATCTACTTTTCAGGTACTCTTTTGTGCCAGGTGAACTATAAAATAAAGAAAAGTTAAATCATCTGAGGTCATCACAATATGTGTTCCAGTTCTTGCTTTTCTGGGGATACTGCCCAGAAAAGATATCAGAGAAGACCCTCTTTGCTTAACTCTGCCATATTTCTTGGGATTTATCTTAGTTCTGCTTGTTTACTTCTTCTTGCAGAATTTTCTAAGTCAAAAATACAGTTGCGGGTTACTTCTCCCTTTTCCCAAACTGAGGAAATGAATCATCTCCATGAAAGGCCCAAGTAGATTGTTACTTTGAATAAAATGTACATATTTTATGCAAATTGCATAATTTAGAAACAATAACTATAATTTAAATAAAGATACATCTCTCAATAACTGCAATGAGCATCATTGGGTAACCTTGTCAGCCCACCTAGAGTTAACTTTTCATAAGCAATTTCAAGTATGTGGCTGTTCTCCTTGTGTGGGATCCTTTACCTCCAAGCTAGACTTGTTCTAGATAGAACATCCAACAGAGGATCCTCTTTTGTAAAATATATGCTCATCCTTATTTAACATAAAGTTGTATCTTTCCCAGTGGATGAACACAGAGATGAGGAATAACAAGCTGAAATACTTTAGAATTATGAGTTTAAAATGCCAGGTTTAATTAGCAAGATCTGATTCCATTATTGGTATCTGAAACTGAATAAGAAAGGTTGCCTCCAAACTAGTTCTAGATTCATTCTATTGTTTATTTTCTTTTTCATTCCAGGCTCTCATGCTTTGCATGATCAGAGAAGAGCAATAAAGATGATCAGCTGTATGGAAAGCAAATTCCATCAAGTCCTATGAGGAAAGATGAGTAAGTGGATATGTAAGAACTGAAGAAATTGGGAACTGGTTAGGGTTGCATAATATGCCACTCTACTAATACTTGAATACACAGTGCATATTTATACATTATGCAAACGCTGATCTCCTTTGACACTAAGAATTAGATGTTAGAGATTAATAGATTGCTAGATAAACATTATGTCAGAGTTGCAAGGTAGACCAGACAGGAACATAGCCAGATGAGTTTTACTGTATGAATCTTGCAAGTCTGAAAATACATTTCTCTCCTCCCCCCTCTAGAAACTAGGGAGGATCCCTGCTGAGCTACTTACAGTATGTGGTCCACATTCCTAATCTGGGCTAAGCTGCTTTCTATCTTATTATTCCCTTGGCTGCCCCTCTTCTTCATATCTTCTCCCTGTCGTTCCTATTATACCATTACACATTAGGAAAACAGTTCTGGTAAAAACAATTCAACCAGTTACCAATTTTAAGACCTAAAAAGATGGACTTTGAACTCTGTTATCCTGTTATTCTGTATGGTGGACAAAGTTATATTTGTATTAAAAGAGTAATCAAGGATAATCCAGGAAACAGATTTCTGGAGTGTTGAAACATCCAGCAATATATATGTACCTAGGAAAGTAACAATTGAAGTGATGCATCTAAGGAGTTGTGGCAGGACAGACTTAGAAAACTCTTGACCTCACTGTTTAAAATTTGGGCACTGAAAATAATGATGCTGCTTTGATCTACAAAAATTCAAAACCACTGCTTTAAAACTTTAAATTATATATCTGTCCATCTAGCTTCTCTATCCTTGTTTTTTTTTTCCTAGACTCTGTTACTGTTAACAAGCTGTTTTAGAGGATACTAAACCTTGGGGGACTTGGAATCCTCTTCTCTGTTCCTTCAGAAATAACATGTCACTGAATTTTATTTTCTTTCCAATTGAAAAGAGCCTTCCATTTGCAAAACCACAAACTTTGATCACATACTTTTTTGTTTTTTAAAAAAGTAGAATATGTTATTTATTTACTTACTTGTATTGGTGTGTATATCTTAGAAGGCCAGAAATATGTCCATAGCACTCTGCTACATATGCCTATCAGAATCTGGTTGTGAATGAATAGGTGTTTATTTAGGTTGACTTTGGAGATATGTGTTACTAAAATGACCCCAGCATGTAGTCCCTTTTCAAGTAAGTCAGCAAATGACTTTTTAAAAATCAGTAAAGTTTTTCTCCCAATTAAACATGAAAGCATTGGAGAACAAGCAAGTTTGCTAATACAAGCATAGATGAATCACAGAGGGTAATTCAAAACCCTCAGAATCCGTTATATTGCACCCATTTACCATACGGACTGATTGTTTGAAAAGATAAAAACAGATTTCTTTGACCTTAATTTCTCTATAGGATCCAGCTCTCATAAAATGGCTGCATACCTCAAGGCATCTAAATAATGGTTTGCAGGGGTGGAGAGGATTGTCAACATAATTATAAATTACTTCAATGTTTTTTAAAATTTCAGTGACAGAGAGGGAAAACCATTTGTGCATGTGCAACACTCTCTCAAATGCATATTGGAGATATGATGCTAACTCTTCAACAGAGATAGGGAAAAGAAAATGCAGTCAGAATGATCTATGCCCATAAAAGCAGCACAGTTAAATTTCTGTCTGGTTGGCCCTTTGAAAATAGAAGAGAGGAACAAGAAAATAAGGGGCAGAGGAGGGAAGGGTGCTGGGAGTTGGATGGCATATAAATTTAATAAATTGTTACAATTATAATTAGCTATGCTCCTTCAAATGTTGAAATTACTAAAGGTTATCATCATTCTAGGCTGAAAAAAAGTCTTGCTCTCCTGCTAATAATGACTTAATTATATTCAGATGTGAGGAGTGGAATTATATGGATAGAACCTAGGATTTTCTTAATGGTATCAGAAGTTATTTTGCTCCAAAAATCTTGTTGAGACTTTTTAAAAAAGCTTAGAGTTGCAGTCTCTAGTATAGTTACCTTGATATAAACTCACTGAACTCAGTAGAATTCTGTCTAAATAGGCAGAGGATTAAATTGCACTCCAAGCCTGTTCTTAGTAACACTGGCCTCAGTGGCATCGTTCCAGGCTGATGCCAGCATGACAAGCAAAATTAGACCCAAAGGTTGTGTTTTGGGTCAACGACATCGTAAGTAATGCTCTATTAATCAGGCAGTTCATCTGACACCTGTTTTTCCCCTTTATTATCCATGACAACAGCCTGTTCCTGATAGCAATCGGCATTCAGCATCTGATAAGGCAGTTCCCATGCCTTCTAAGAGCTCAGCATCAATGAATATGATGAAATCTAAGAATAATTTGTAATGATTTTCTATGTCAAAATTAATTCTTAATTAGAATGTTTAAAACTAAAGAAACCAGAACTTTCAACTGCTAGAAATAGCTGTTCTATATCCTTCAGTAGATTCAAGTTCTCTGCTGGATATGGAATTTATAAATTGTATCATTTGTTATGACTCATTGAAGGACAATAAAGAGTGTTGAAGCACTAAGAGAAAACATGCAGGATATATTCTTAAATAAGAATAAAAAATAACTAGAGATAAGAATTCATTTCACCCTGAAAATGCATGTTAAGGAATCTTCCACTACCAACATGCAGCAAAAGGATTCAATTTTAAGTAAAAAAAAAAAAAAAAAGAATATACCAACATATAGAAATGCTTCGCACAAGTCCCAGTCAGTTTTAACTATAACTATTATTGTCATTCCTAAAATGCTCAGAATTTATTAAATGCTGCAAATATTTTTTTAAAAAGAATCAAACAGATCTACCCTTGCACTATCGAAGGCTTCAGCTCAGCTCATCTATGACATTCCTGAGAGAAGGAAGAGAGAAAATAAAGAGGAAAAAACTGAACTTAGAGATATATTAGAAAGAAGATTGGGGATAGTGGTGGAGAGAGAAAATAGAAAATCAGATGTGTACATTAAAATATTAAAAGTGGTTCATGTAAAGTTTATTGAAATTTTACATGAACATTATCCATATAAACAAACATAAATAATGATGTCCTGCTTCAAAATAAAGTTGCTTGAGTATAATAAACATTGTTAATATGAATATATAAAAGCAAAATTCTATTCTCTTTATTTATTCAATTAATTCCCACTATCCACTTATTCGGTTTTTCTCCAGTTCTATTTCTAATGCTGTGTCCATTGTTTCCCTTCAGTTAAAGTACATCGACTTGATAGTTTCACTTGCATCATAATTTTGCAGCCTTATACTCCAATCCTGCATCCAAGAGGTAGATAAGAGATGAGATCTCTCTGTGCAAATATGGGCCCATCCTCAGAAGAGATCTGACCTCAGATTGTCTTCCTAGCCACTGTGGGGAAGAGTATCACATCATTTAACACTAGAGATTAGGAAAGATTTGAAAGGGAGAAGTTAGAGGGCCAGCACAGAAGGATTAGGGAAGGCCTGCAGCATCAATGGATGGTCCAAATAATTTCCTTCTATTGCTTGCAGCAACAGGAAAATAGTTAACTTTCCCTATCCCCTAGACCATTGCAAGGGTGACTTAAGGGCAATGACTCTTCAACACCTCTTGACCTACTGACCACAAGAGGGCAATAGGTTATAGTTAGAGAGTGAAGGATTTACTATGTGCCCCCTCTTTGTCTATCATTTCACTTATGCTTTATCTGCGAGAGTGCTATCTCAAATGGTTTTCTTCTTTCTTTCCCCCCAAGGGACTATGACAAAAAGTAGATCCTTTTTGACTTTCTCTAGGCTGTGTCGGTGTCTAGAATGTATTTCCTTAAGGAAATCTCCTTTTTATTATAAATAAAACTTTTCTACTAATCATTACTCAGGTCAAATCCATGCTCTTAGAAATGCTTCCATTGTGCCCTCAACACTTTCAAGACCAATATAACATAGGAAAAAAGAAAAGAAAAGAAAGGACTTACATTCCATTTCTGCCTGAATATCAGAGCTTCCTGAAAGTGCATGTCCAAATGCCTTGCCAATATTATATAGAAAAGAATTTTCTGGTATGTTTCATTTATCATATTTATAAAGCATATGTTCCTGGCATAAAACAGCCTGCAACAGTTTAGAATACAATTTAGGAAGCATCAACAATAAAATGCCCACAATCACAAAATAGAATAAAATGTCAGAACACAGTATTAAATCTGTAAATAACAGTCATAATCGAGTAATTTAACAAACACAACTTTCAACATAAAATAACTGACCTCAAAATAGTTTCCTATGTGAGGTAGGCTTGAGTATAAAATTAAACTTCTAGCTTGCTAAAACGTGAACGTAACTTGGGATAAAAACAATTCAAATGTCTCAAGGATGCCAATGATTTGGGTCTTGGGTACAGAGAAACAAAATGTTTCAGATTCAAAGTATTTCAAATTTGTTTTGTTTTCAAAATGGCTATTTCAGCCCTATTAGAAGTGTTTTAGTTTGAAGAAGAGTGGCTTTAATTTGGAACAGATGTTTGAAAATCAAAACACTTCTAAAACTATTGACAAAGCCTATTCCAAATATGAAAACAGCCACTCAAATTCAAATAACTGTTTCAAGTTTGAATCAGGGGTTTGGAATTCAAAAAGGTTCAGATTTGAAACATTTTGCACACCATTTGTCTCAAGTTATTATATAAACAGAGGATATAGTACAACAATTTCAAATCTGGTCAAGATCAGCATATTTTTCATATTCCTAGTGAGAATCATTCATTTCAAAAGTGAAATTGACTCACCTTTTTCTTGTTCATAATCTCTCTTTGTCAATAATGGAAATCCTTGTATGACCATCTTTCCTGTCTCCTGCTGACAGTTTCTTATCGCATTGTGCTGAATTTTTCTTCCACTTTCTTTTTTTTTTTTCAAGGAAGAAAAATTGGTGGAACTCAGCTAAGAAAGCTACAAAGGCTGCAGACTAGGTTAGATTATTAATGAGACTACAGAACTCTTCAGAGATGTCTCATCATCCAAGGCAATCCAAAAAGATTCCAAATTGTCCTAAGAATGACCGAAAACAAAAAACAAAACAAAACAAAAAAAACCTGAGCAGAGAACTTTGGAGAAATTTTGTTAGGAAACAGGATTTTCTAATGCTTCTCCAAATGTATTCCATAAAACTATCTTATTAGTCACAGAAGGATTTATAGATTCCTAATTTATAACAAGATCCCATATAGCTTATAATATGTAAAAGTGGACATTTCTCAAAAATGTCTTGGATATATTTGTAAATTAATAGACAGGATAACAAGAGCTAAAATAGTTTTTTAAAACACATCAGAAATTAAGTTTCCACATAAAATATTAAAATAGTTCACCATTTAAAATTTACTCAATGCAATTTGGATATAATGATAAAGAAAATTAATTCTTTTTTTAAAAAATAAAATAATATTGATAAAAAGCTTAGAACTCAATGAAGGGGGGTATTTTCCAACTGATCATCTTTCTATAGCCTCTGTGGGTGCTTTCCTCTGTTGCTTTTTAAATAAGATGGAACAGCTGGATAAGGTTAGGAATAAAACCATTTGTGCAGAGTTTAGATTTTTCCATGTATTTGGAGTTATGGGACTGTCTTATTGGAGCTGGTTTCCATGAATCAATACTTTGTTTTAGACAGATCTGCCTGCCTGCCTGCCTTTCCTTCTTTCTAAATTCAGTTGTCCAGATGTATATCTGGGGGTGAATAATTTTTCACTGTGTGTGTTTAAATATCTTCTTCTCATCTGGTCCATGAATTCAATAGTTTTTGGATGATCTGAGAATTAATAATGACATTGTTTCAGCTGAGCTATGATAAAAGCCATGGGTGTAATGGCCTGGTCACTAACCAAGAAACCTTCTACAAAGAGGAGAGGGAACCATTTGGTGTTTTTTTCTCTTCTCTCTCCCTATGTGTGTATATGGAGTATTAGAAGGATGTTTTTCATTCATTATGAGCATTTTAATCACTCAGAGATTCAATTAGGTATAAATCATTAGTATTACTTTCTCCAAAGCTCTTCATAATACACATGACCGGCTTGGGAGTCTAGATTTAGCATATAGCTGAAAAGGCAGACTTATGGGTTCTTTTTTTTTTTCCCTCCTCTCCCCCTTCTCTCCTTGCAATGAAATTGATAAATAGATCCAGCATTCTAGGTGCCGCAGTAATTTCTATAGTGCAGTCAAGTGCTAGCTCCCTTGCCTCTTTCCTGCAATGAGGGCAGAGTTCCCCTTAATACCTCAGCCTTCCCCTGGGCTGCCAAAAGGCCATTCCAGGGGCAGGGAGAGTTTCGTTTTGAGGCAGAAATTGCCTGTAGCATGGAGAAGGATCCTTCAGCCTTATTAAGAAGAGGCTTCCTTTCTTAAGCACAAATAATGGAAAGTTTTAGTTTCTTTCGCTGAAACTGTTGTCATTGTATCCCTCCGGCGTCTGGCCCTCTTCTCTCTTCCCTGGGATAAAATGTCCCCAGCGGCCAAAATCACTATCTGAGAAGCATATTTCCTTCTAATCAGTTTTACGGCTCTTTAAAGTAATATGTCAGATCATTTTCTCCATATACATAGTTAATGAAAGTAACCTACAAGTTCATTTTAAATAGATGGAAGTTGTTATAACCCTGATCTGGAATTTATTATGTTCATTACAATCTTGCTGAAGTGAGTAATGTAATGGACTATTACTTTTATTATCTTTTGAATCCCTCAAAATTATTAGGAACTGACTAATATTTGGCATCACTCGATCGATGTTTAAACAGAAATTGATACTTCATTCACTAATAAATAATTAACTCCCTCCTCCAACAGGGGAGAAAAATCACTTGGAGAGAAAAAAATAACTTGGAAAGATTTCACTGGATTGATTCCAACAATCCCTCCCTTACAGCCTACCTATAGATAGTTTAGAGCAATTATAAGATAGTATTTTATTGATTTCCATATTCTGTAGCTGAGAGATTGTTTTTCTTCTGTCTCAAAAAAACCTGAAAAGGTGCTTTCAATTTTTTTGCAGGTCATATCATTTTTGTATCAAAGGCAGTACATATTTATAAATAGATGGCCTAAAGATAACTACCATTATGTACACAGAGAGTTAGCACTGATCATGCACTTAATTAAAAAAAGTTAATGTTAATAGGTGTGACATTCTGCTCCAATATACTTTTCTAGATACTGAGATCTTACACTGCTGATTTGTTTTCCCATTTCCACACTACTGTACTAATTTGTTTCTATATTATACATCACCTAATAGGAATAAAAATTGGATGAACAAATCAGACTATTTCCAGATGTGTTTATCTGTAAGTTTACTCTGACCCATTTCTACACCTGTCTATAAAGTTTTTAAAAGACATAGTAATGCATTATGTTTAATGTAGTATTAATAAAACATGGATGATTTTAATATACGGTTGTCCGACAGGTCAGTGTTGATTCCTACAAAGGTTCCTGCAGTTTGATAGGCAAGGTTTTTCAGAAGTGTTCTGCCATTTATTTCTTCCTAGGGCTGAGGGAGAGGGACTGGCCCAAGGGCAGCTAGCTGGCTTTGGGTCTAAGGTAGGACTAGAACTCAGAATCTCATAGTTTCTACCTGATGTCTTAACCACAGTACCAAAGTGATGCTCATAAAAAAGTTTCATTCTAAAGCTATTTTAAACTGTATTCAACTGCATTTAAACTTAAAATATTCTTTTTAAGTTTATGCATATTTTAAATCAAGAATTGTATCTGAAAATTCAAAGAATTATGAAAACAAAAAAATTAAATGCAGTAAACTTCTTAGTCTATAAAAGAAAGACCAGATCATTTGCACAAACCAGAATCTTCAAGGATCTATAAACAAAATATTTTTAAAATAGTCTAAAAATAAAAACTTTTTCTTATCAATCTGTTTCATTCTGTATAGGCCCTTTTACAAATACACATTTAACAGGAAAAGATTAATTGTTAATAGATATTGGTTTCAATTGTTTTTAGAAGCAAGAGGTTATGAAGAGGGGAGGAGTAGTAGGGGAGGGAGGCCACCCGCCCCCCCCCACCCTCCCAGAGCTTTCTCTGCCTTCACCATAAATCCTCCGGGAAGATGGATTGATAGATGGTTGGATAGATGGATGGAGGGATTGAATTTCTAGTCCACTCTAGTCCAACATGATTCTGGGGGGGGGCTTACAGTTAAAAGAAATAATTGTTTAAAAAACAACCACTCTCCAAGTGACAACTTAACTTACAACTACATTGCCCCCAATTCAAAGTTGCCCTCCCAAGCCCCTAACGCAAAGCTTTGGGAAAACCTGAGTTTGTAAAGATTACTTGAAGAAGGACAAGGTAACGGTTGTATGAATACTGCTGTCCCAAACTGCAGGTGCTGCAATAGAAGAGACCCCTTTCCTGAATCCTACTAGATTAGTGATGGCGAACCTACGACACACATGTCAAAGATGACATACCATGATGTTTTGGGTGACATACCAGCATTCACCAACAACTATTCTTGAAAGCATGTTCCATTCTTAGGTGATTATTGGAGGCTGCACTCACACACTTTGGGGAATGGTGCAAGGTGTCCATTTTGAGTGGCGGTGGTGGCAGTAGGGCTGAAAGTGAGGTCCTGGGCTGTACTTCAGGCCCAGCTTTCGAACTGCTGCTGCATGATGCTGTTCAGGGTGGCTTAGATTGGGGTGGACGGGTGATATAGAGACTTGTTTTCTCTTTTGTTTGGTGTGTGTGTGTGTGTGTGTGTGACATGCCAGCAGAATCAAGTTAGGCATTTTCTGAATTTTTGACATTGCAAATTCAAAAGGTTCGCCATCACAGCACTAGATGTTATTGCTTTATTGACAGGACCTGAATCAAGTCAACCCTGTTAGAAAAGGGTGGGAGACTGCAAGAGTGTGCTAACATAGGAGAAGCTCCTTTTCATAACAGAGAGAAAGACAGGGAGAGAGAATGTGTGAGAGAGAATGAGAGAAAGAGAAAGAGAAAATGGAATCCATCCATAATGCCCCATTAGCTTAAGTTGATACCATTCTTTCCACTCTGGTTCCAACAAAATCATACAAGTAAATATATCGTGTCCTTCTGCAACTCTTGGGAGCCTCATTTAGAGCAGAAAAGGCCATTTGAATACTGACTCCATGTGCCCAGAGTCAGCTGCCAAGAGCAGGGAGCAATATCACCTGTGCTGGAAGCTGCTGATAGGTGCCAACCATGTGGACAGCTGCTGATCTGATTAAGATGGCCTCTAGGGGGATGGAGCTGTCTTCCATTGGCTTTCAGAGATGGACTTCAGATGTCCTTCTCTGTCTGCCTGGCAGGACCTTTGGTGGAAGCTCTGTAGAGTCACCCCCGGTTCAGCACCAAGGACAGTGCACACAGGCGATCAAAGAAGGAGACCAACTGGGGCCAAATTGATTGTCGTTCTCCGAAATTCCATCTGAAATATTTGGTTGTCTGACAGATATTCCAGCTGCAAATAGCTGGCAGCAGGAAAAGCAAAGAAAAATGTTTTAAAAGCATTGAATGATTCATCACAGGGACGTCTTTCATGGAAGCTTTGACTTTGAAGCAAGGATGGCTTTGAAGCTCAGGCCTTCTGCAGAGCTGGAAAAAAAAAAAGGATCCGTTTTAAATTCACGAGTATAATTTCTGGTTAATTGCCATCTTCATGAAAATGAACACCCAGCTTCACATCCAACCATCCATATGGAATGTTATTTCTTTCATTTGTTTGTGGTCGTCCAGAATCTTTTACAAGGGTTTCCATTTCTCAATGGAGGAAGTCTTGATTTGGCTTTTGCGCTGTGCTTAGTGAGCGGCTTACTGGCCACTGTGGAGAAGAGAGACAGAAAATGAAATGTTTAAACAAGCTTCACTCCCACTAAAATGGGAATCTTAGATAGCAGAAGAGCATGCAAGTTTCTAGAAATAGAAGGATGACATTCCCAAGTTCATTGGAAGA